CTTTCCCCCTCACTGAAGGTTTTTAAGTGGAAGATGACTTTCCCTGGGAACAGTGCAGAGGCAGGATCCTCTGACCTCTGATCAGCATTCTTTCCCCTATGCAGTTGTACATTTTCCCTATTCAAAGATAGCTGGTGAGGGCAGGTGTGTCTCAAAATGTGTATTTCTGTGTATGAAGCAGTATTCCAGGTTGGCAGAAGGCAACCTGTGCACATAAAAATTACATACACATATTTCCATGTAATTATATATACATATATGCATACATATGTGTGTATGTGATAGTTGTATATTACCAGGTCAGTTCACACAAGCCTATTCAAACCATAATGATATAGCTAGAATAATCCTATTAGATCACTGAAATCATACAATGTCCTATTAGAAGAAAATCTTATCTTCAAGACTTCATCAAGTAATCCAGTAGACCTCTTTTTGGGAAGGAGGAAACTGAATCCCAGAGGGAGGAAGTAAATTGCCCAGTGTTACACATTAATGGCAGAGCCAAGACAATCTTCCCTCCCTACCCACCCCCCATCCCAACTCTATTCTTTTATCCAGACCTTTGGTCCTCTACTGAAAGGTAGAGAGGTTAAATGATTCACCCAAGGTCTCACAGTCAGTATATGTTAGAGGCAGAATTAAAACCTAAGTCTTCCTAGCTCCAAGACCAGCTCCCTGTTCGAATCACCAGGCTGCCTCTCTGTTGGTATGGCTCTATTAATGTCCACTCCTAGAGTACCAATTACTGTTATTGCTATAATTATTACTATTAGTTCTAATACTAGCATCTTGTATATAACATGGCATTTAACAAATTAAACTAAAGGGACATTGCTTGGGGTAAGGAGTATTACTGTCACCACTCTTACTATTAAATGCTTCAAGGATCCTTGAGTTCCTACACAACTGTTCTCTCAAACTCCTTGCTTCTTCTTCTCCCACAGATCCTTAAGAGGGATCCACCTAACATGTGGAATCAAGGAACTTTTCATGGTCAGCCCAACGGATCAAATAAGATCATATTTGTAAAGTGCTTAGCACCTTGCCTGGCACATAACAGGCATTTAATAAATGCTCATTCCCTTTTCTTCACCAGGTGGGGTGCATCTGATCTGATACACAAACAAGCACCTTAGGAGGTAAAGTGACTTGTCCACTGTCACTTTGCCTGGCGGGCAGCAAGTAAGGTCAACATTTAAATGCAAGTTCCCAGAATCTATAAATCTAATAATCCTCAGCCTACCTCCCCAGTTGTCACTCCTGTCTCTAATGTTGAGCTAGGTGACCTTGGGCAAATCTCAAATTATCTGTACCTCTTTTGGGGAGGATTGGACCAGACGACTCTAAGGTTCCTCCAGGTTCCAAATCTATGATTTTCTGGTCTTTATTCAGTGTATAGAGTCCTTCCCTACATCAATCAATAAACATTTTCTAAGCGCCCACTGTGTGTCAGGCACTGTACTAAGCGCTGGGGATGCAAAAAGAAGTCCCTGCCTTCGACGAGCTCACAATCTAATTTGATACCTTATATAATATAATATAATACATTACGGGTTACGTAGGCGCTTGTGAGTTGGCATAGCAACCTGACAACCATTTAGAACTGTTTCCACAGGAAAAAGGTTTTGCCCCTCTACCAGATCACTTTCCTTGCAAACAAACTTTTGTAACTTTTCTGTGTCAGTTTCTGGAGTCCAAGAGGAGGGAGACCGTGGACGAGTCCTGTTTAACGCCTTCAGCTTTCCAGCCGAATTCCTACGACCTCCGCCTCTACAGCCCCCAACCTCCAGTTCTTTTCACAGCCTAACACTTTTCTGATGGCTACCCTAGCAGGGAGAAAAGCATTGGACTTCTCGTCCCATCCTAGGACTGCCCGGGCAGGGAGTCCCCAGCGGAGTGGCGCGGCCACCAGCCTATACTCACACTCTAGACCCGACGGCGCAGCCCAGACCTCTTCCCCCTTTTACAGAACGCCCTGTCTTCGCCCCACCAAATCAACCCAGGCCGGGTTCCCCAGCCTCCTGGCCCCGACCCGACCCCTGTCACTAACCCATCTTTTTCAGCGCTCGCAGCGCGGCCCCTTCCTGGCTCCTGCCGTCCGAGACCAGGATCCGGAACGAGGACTCCAGCTCCCTGCCGCTCCGTCTCTTCCATCGGGGGCACGGCATAGTCCGAGGCAGAGTCTGGTCTGGGGACACAGTGGCGGCGGGGCGCAGGGACGAATAGACGTCCGGGGCCCGGCCAGGGCTCTGGCTCCTAGGTTCCGAAGTGAGAAACTAGGAGCCGGACAAGGAGGCGGAGTGAGCTAGAGAAGAGGGTGGGAAGAGAAGGAAAGGGGAGGGAGGGAGAGAGGGAGGCCAGGACCATGGGGGCGGGATCTCCCGCTTTCCCAGGTCTTAGGAATTGAGGCCAAGCTGTGTGACCCCTACCCGACTGTGACTGTGCGGTGCTTCACCTTATCAAAACTCTCCCCTCAGTTCGTTCCGTGCCCCTTATGCCCACCCTGTGTGCCCCCTCCCCCATCCCCGTGAACCCTGAACTTGACTGACTCGGAAACACCAAGAGGTCGCTCCAGCTTTAGCGTGGGAGGGGTGGGGGTGGGGGTGGGGGTGGGGCCGCGACGGGGAAGTGGGGAAAGCAGCCGCGGCTTTTCCTCGAGCCCCGGTGCTGGACTTGCGAGGGCTCCCGGGCCCCTTGAAGACTCTGGATTCCGGCCTCCTCTTCTCCCTTGTGCACTAAGCTCCTCCTCCTCTCTCAAACTCGGGCAGTCGGGTGTGGTGTCAGGGAAATAAAGATGGGCAAAAGCCACCTGGTCAAAGGTATGGAACTCTTCCAACTCGGAGACTGGATTAGACCTGCGATGACCGAACTGGGGACTCGGGGTGTCAGAGAACTGGGGAAGGTGGAGAAAGAGGAGGGCAAAGAAGGATGCAGAAAGGAGGGAGGAGAGAGGAATCTCCCCCTCCACTACTTCAGCTTCGTGATGTCATTGGATTAACCCTCATGACGCCAGAGGATGCCTCCTCTGTTATCAGATAAATACCCGTACACAGGAAGGAGGAAAGAATTCGTTCACTGGAGTTGAGGTGGAAGGGACTTTGTCAATCAATCGATAGACATTCATTTAGCGCCTACTTTGTGCCAGGCACAATGCTAAGTGCTGGGGATAAAAAGAAAAGCAAAAGACAGTCTTTGCTCAGAGACCAATGGGGAGACAAACATGCAAACAAGCTATGTGCAGGATAAATTGGAAATAATCAATAGAGAGAAAGCACTAGAATTAAGGAGGTTTGGGGAAAGTTTCCTGTAGAATGTAGGATTTTGGCTAGGACTTTAAGGAAGTCAAGGAAACCAGGAGGTGGAGAAGAGGACTGAGAGCGTTCCAGGCATGGTGGACAGACAATGAAAATACCCCATTTAGAGGGCAGCTAGGTGGCGCAGTGGATAGAGCACTGGCTCTGGAGTCAGGAAGACCTGAGTTCAAATCCAGCCTCAGACACTTGATCATTTGATACTAGCTGTGTGACTCTGGGCAAGTCACTTAACCCCAACTGCCTGGCCAAAAAAAAAAAATACCCCATTTCGGGAGATGGAGTGTTGTTCGAGAAAGAGCAAGGAAGTTACTGTCACTGGATTGTTGGGGGTGGGGACAAGGAGGAGGAGAAAGGGGTACAAGGTATAAAACTGGAAAGGTGAGAGAGTGGGCTGGTTATAAAGGGTTTTGAATGCTAAGCAGATTCTATATTTGATCTTGAAGGTGTGATAGCCATTGGAGTTTATTAATTAGGGAAGTGACATGGTCAGACCTGCACTTTAGAAAGACCGCTATGACAGCTGAGTGGAGGATAGACCCAAGTGAGGAGAGGTTTAGGGTAGGGAGACCAACCAGCAGGTGATTGCATGAGGAGATAAGGGCCTGCACCAAGACAGTGGCAGTGTCAGAGGAGAGAAGGGGGTGGATGCAAAGAGATGTTACCAAGGTAAAATCAGCAGGCCTTGGCAACCTTAGCACGAATGAATGAATAAAAGAATCGATTTTTTAAATGAATTTATTAAGCACTTACCGTATGCAAAGAGCTGAGAATACAAATACAAAAAAGTGAAAACAGTGCCTGCTCGGATTCCAATTTCCTGCTTTGGAGATTGGAGCCCTGGATTGCGGTTCCTGCTCCCAGAACGTCAGCCAAGCTTCCCTAGGGCCCAGGTTCTCACCTCCCTCTCCCTCGAGGTGTCCCTGTGGGAGTTTGTGTACGTGATATTCAGTGACGAATGCAGTGATGAGCTGGGGTGCGTATATGCGTGACTGCTTTATGCGTCACCGATGCACGCAGCATCTAAGTTCTTCCCAAGAGAGTAGAGGTGTAGATGTGCACGGGTACCGGGACAGTACGTTTGGGTGTCTGTGGCCGTGTGCCTAGGGGTCAGGGTTAGAAATCCGTGAGCACAGCGCCACCTATTGCTACTTTGGGGCATGCAACGCACTCCTGACAGTCCGCAATTACCCCACCCCTGACGTATACATCCTCCTTTTTGTCATCCCCCCTATTCTCCTCAAATTTCCGCCACTGCCTCGCATGTGTGATGTCTCCTCGTGTCTCTCTTCTTCAGTGTCCCTCGGAAATCCAACTCAATTCAACCAGAGAACCCAGCTTTTGATTGACTAACGCCCAGCAAGTTGACACGTCGATTCCCGGGCCCAGGTGGCTGTGGTCCCCTTCTCCCGCAAGAGGACGCACAGGTTTCGCGTCAGGCGCCTCTCTGTTCCACCAGAGGGCGCTGACCGCCTTCCTCAGTCTTAGCGGAGGGGCGGCGGGGAGAGCTGTAATGCTACCGCCAGATTGGGAATCAGCAGCACGGTGATTTGCATAAAGTTGAAAGACCCACGCCTAGTGGACGAAAAGCGGAAGGCGAGAGTGAAACGGACTTGCTTATTGGCTGAGGCTTCTGCCCGTTCTTCCTTACGCCCTGAACCTCTCCAACTGCGCCGGGAGGTCAGTCGGAAACCTTGGGCACTAGGGAGAGGGGCCACTTCCCCCCCCCCCCCGTCCGAGCCCGGCGAGCCGAGGAGGGGCAGCCGGGGTGAGTGCCAGGAGGCGCTGGGACCCCCGGCATGGGGGGACCCGGGGGTGGAGGGCTGCATGCTGGAGGGCTGCGTCCCTGGGAGTTGTGCGCGGTGGTTAGGGACACATCTGGGGAAGGGGAGCTTAACAGCTAAGGGCATATCTGGAGAGGGGGAAGATACTGGGGGCACAAGCCGTCCTTTCTGCTCACTTGACTCTCCGGGGCTCAGGACCAGCTCCAAACCGATCCTGGGACCCACCTGCCCTGGGGAGAACCCGTCCAACTTTGGGAAAGACTCGAGTCTCCGCTCTGGATTCTCAGTGAATCCCTATAAAGGAAGACCTCAGTTTTCTCATCGGAAAGGTGGGGCTATGGAGTATGGGAGGCTAGAGTTGGGGGAAAAGTGGCCCCGGTGCTGCAGTCCCTGTCTAAGATGAGCACTCTCACAAGTTTGTCATTATAGGAAGTCTTCCAGAGACGGTAATCTTCACCACCACCCACCCAAGCTCCTCTTCATTTCCAGTGGCTACAGTTAGCTCAGGATGGGGACAGAAAGGCAGGGTTCAGAGCCAGACTGCCAGAAGCAATTCCACGCAGCAGTTACTGTCATCCAGAGTTTACCCAAGAATGGTGAGGCCAGTGACAGTCTCCCCATCCCACCCCACCCCCCTTGCCCTTTACCTCCCGTGTTCCCTATCCTCGCTGATTCCAAGCTGTAGTTTGGAGGTCCCCCCTTTCCCCCAGTCATTCCCTGGAGTCTTCACAAGTTTCCAGTAGAGGAGAAGTTTCTGGCCCTGGACACCTTGACTTACCTGATATTTCACTAGGTAAGCCTCCTCCCACCACAGCACTCAGCTTTAGCCCTCTCCTCACCCCAGGGAGCATGTCCTTAGGCAGCATCAGCAAAGCTCTGTTTCTCTGAACACTCCAAAGTTCCCCCAGCCTCTTCCCCCTGAAGCTGGGGATCTGATGGTTCTTGGCTTTCTTATTGCTCACCACCCCAACCACTCAGGTTCTTATCGCCCATCCTATGAGGAGATGTTGCGTTTCTACAGCTACTACAAGCAGGCTACCCAGGGACCCTGTCATGTGCCCAGGCCTGGCTTCTGGGACCCTATTGGACGTTATAAATGGTAATGCACCCTCCTCCCCCTGCCCCAGCTCCATGGTACTGTCCTCTTGGGGCAGTGTCCCTTCATGGAGGCCTCTTTGGTGACCAGAACTCTGCCCTCCAGGGATGCCTGGCACAGTCTGGGCAGGATGAGCCAGGAGGAGGCAATGGCGGCTTATATTGCAGAGATGAAGGTGGTGGCCCAGAAGGTAAAGTCTTCCTCGTGCTTCCTCCCAAGTGTAGAGTCATTTGGACTCTGGTGCTTGCTCTCAGTGACCCTTATCTTCCCTCCTATTAACCAATGCTGTTTCCACTCCAATTCTCTCATAGTGAACCAAGCCAGCAGGCCAGCCTCTGCCTCCCTTGACTCCTTCCCCAGTGGTTCTTAAGCCAGGGCTGAGCCTTCAGTGGACACAGTTGGGTGGTGACAGGGGTGGCAACATTTACTGTCGGGTTACCCACCATCTTTTTTCCTCTTCCCATAAGGTGATAGACACGGTTCCCTTGGGAGAGGTGGACGATGGCATGTTTGACTACTTTGTACCCTTGTACGAGATGATCCCTGACATGCCTCAGCCCCCAGAGACCTTCTTGAAGAAACTCACAGGTCAGACTCCCCCTCAAAAGGGCCAGCACTGGATGGAGAAGACTCAGAGTCAGGCCAAGGTTCTGAACTGCTCAGCTTATCATCATGGGGCTGAGAGAAGGGGTTTACCCAGCCATGGAAGAAGGAACTGTGGGATCCCTAGAGGGTTATGGGAGATCATCTTGTCAATACCCCTATTTCTACAGACTAGGAAACCATGGCCCAATGAGGTGAGGTAACTCACTCAGGATCACATAGATTAGAAATAGGAAAGTGGATTTGAACTCAGGTTCTCCAACTTCAAAACCCATGGTCTTTCCAATTCCACATGAAAGGAAGCCCTAAAATCAGTGCCATGGTTGTTTATGAGGGTGGTAGGGGGAGGATGTGGGATTGGTGCAGGTTTTTACTGCTGTTGTTTCTTGCCTGGAAATAAATAGATATGTTTGTATTTGGGGGCGGGGAGAAGGGGAATCTGGGGGGCTGACTTGGGTGGAATGTGTCGATCTGTCCCACCTCCTTCCCCTTGCAGCTCAGAAGGAGAAGATGCCAAATGGAGACATGAGAACCGTCCTTGAGCCCCTACCACCTCCTGAGGAACCAGCCTGCCAGACATCAGGTCATTATCTACCTAGATTTGACTTCATTCAACAACGTTGAGTATACTGTGTGCCAAGACTGAGGATACAAGAGAGGAAAATGAAATAATCCTGGCCTTCAGGAAATTACAGTCTACCAGAGAGAAAAAACAACCACATACACACACAGCTAAATAGAAAATCATTTTGAGGAGACACTGTCAACTGGGGGAGTCAGGACAGGCCACTTGTATGTGGTGAGACTCGATCTAAGCCTTTAAGGGAGCTGGGGGGGAGGGGAGAGGAGGGTCCAAGAGGTAGGACCAAGAAGGAGAACATTCCAAGCATGAGGTATAGTCTATGCTTACCATGCAATGTCATGGAGGTGGGAAATGGAAATTATATATATATATATATATATATATACACATGTGAGTGTGTATATATGTGGAAATACATGGGTGTGTTTTTTCCCCCTGAAAGCAACAAGCAAGCAAGTTTGGTTACAATGCAGACTAGGGGGGAGCACATATCCTGTTCCCTGTATTGGGTTCTTAACCTTCTTTGTGTCATGGACCCCTCTGGCTGTCTGGTGAAGCCTTTGGACTCCTTCTCAGGAGAATTGGCTTTTTAAATGCATAAAACAGGAGACATAAGATTACAAAGGAAACCAATTATATTAAAATATAGTTATCAATTGTTTTTAAAGTTCATAGAATTGAGGTTAAGAAATGGACTAGGGGGAAGCTAGGTGGTGCAGTAAATAGCGCTTCGCCCTTGGAGTCAGGAGGACCTGAGTTCAAATCCAGCCTCAGACACTTGACACTTACTAGCTGTGTGACCCTGGGCAAGTCACTTAACCCTGATTACCTCACCAAAAAGCACACCAAAAAAAAGCGGACTGGGGAGGAGTCAGCTGGGGCAGATAATAAAATGATGAAGGACCAACCCCCCTGACCTCCCCACACCCCACGAAGAAGTGTTAGAAGGAGAAGATAAAACCTGAGAATGGGTATACTCATATTTCATGCCCCGTGGAACCCCTGGGTTCTAGAGCACCGAGCTTAGAAAGGAGGATGTATCAGCCAGAGGTCAAGGAATAGGATGGCTCTGAGGTTCTTATTCCCAAGGCCTTATTCACTTGACCTGTGTCCTTGATTCCTTGGGTCTGTTCTTCCCTTCTTCCCTTCATTCCTTCCTTTTTTCCTCTCTCTTGTTCTCTCTCTTTTCCTTTTCTTTTACTCTCTCTCTCTCTCTCTCTCTCTCTCCCCCTCCCTTCTCCCCTCCCCCTGACCATAGAGAGCACTAGCTGCTGCCTCTACCTGGGCCTTGGGAAGCCAGCAGCCCTCTCCCTTCCCTCACCCCTTTTCTTTTTGCTCCTCTCACAGAAGCACAGCTACCCAGGGTGCCCAGTGTCCATGGGAGAGCCTCCATGGACCTGGATTCTGAGGTTTTCTGTGATTCCTTGGAACAGCTAGAGCCTGAGCAGGTGAGATGTTTCTTCTATCCTTGCCACCCCATTCTCAAGGCTACTCCTGCCTTGCCTCTCCCACCCAAGCCTTCAAGACCCAGGGGATCGAGCTTGGGGGGAGAATCAGGAAGGTGATGGAGTCTGAGTTTCTCCTGCCCTGGGATTTCTCCCTCCAGGATGAGTGGCTTCAGGAAGAGCTGAAGTTGGCGCATGAAGGAGAGACTGATGTCAGTAGTGACCACTTGCTTCCAAGAGAGAGAGGTGACTCGAACCCTGCCCTGCCCTCCCCCTACCTTCCTTTCCTCTGGGATCTTCTTTCTCTCCTCTGTCCCTAGCACCTGCCCTCACCTCTGGCTCTTCCATCCCCACCCTCCCCTTTGGGACACTGCTGGGATGAAAGTCCAGGGTTAGTATTTTAATTTAGAGAGGGGTTGGGGAGGGCACTGGGAAGTTAAGCCTTCTGCCCAGGGCTGCCACACAGGCAGATGCCCTTGGCTCTCAGAACCTCAAGCTACTGGGGAAAGGGGTAGGGGGTGGGGCTGGGCAAAGTCCCTGCCTCTCCCTCCTCTGCCTGTGCCCCTCTACGGACAGCAGTGAAGGAGGCAGAGCCACCCCCTCCCTTCAGGACTTCTTAGCCCTCTGTTCCAGTCTCATCTAGTCGACTTCAACCTTCTGGGCAAATTAAGGAGAATAATCCCTGTCCTTCCAGGACTGGTGTGAAAATAGCTCAGGCTTCATAGATGTGCTAGGAAGGCTTTGAGAAAATACATTTTTTTTTTTTAGGCAATGGGGGTTAAGTGACTTGTCCAGGGTCACACAGCTAGTAAGTGTCAAGTGTTTGGTCTGAGGCCAGATTTGAACTCAGGTCCTCCTGACTTCAGGGCCGGTGCTTTATCCACTGTGCCACCTCGATGCCCCAGGCAAAAATCCTATAGAAATGCAAGGGACAGTTGAGTACTTGGAGGTTTGGTTTACTCCTGCCCTTCACCTACCCTACCAGGCATCTGAACCTGGGCAGGTCCAGGGGGATGCCACAGAATGAGGACAGCCCCTCTTTTTATCTTTTTTGTGCAGAGATGGTAGGAAGGGCTCCCCCGGGTCCCCAGGAGTTTGAAGCCTGGCTGGCCAGTACAGTTCAAGCCCTGCAAGAGAGCATGCAGGATGTCCAGGGGAGGCTGAGGTGTCTGGAGAGCCTGCCCCGCCCTACACAGGTGAGCCCCCCTTCCTGCAACAGCCACCAATCAGAAGGAAGAAAGGGGCCAGTGAGAGACTGGGATTTGAGCCAGATCTGCCCTTTTCCCTCAGCTTACCCATCTGTGGCCCTCTGTTATCCTTCCCACCCTTAGAAACCAAGAAACCTTTTTCCATGGATAATAATAATAGTGGTGGTGGTAGTGGTAGTGGTAGTAATAGTAATCCCATTGGAAACCAAGAAGCCTTTTCCCAGGATAATAATAATAGTGGTGGTGGTGGTGGTGGTAGTAATAGTAGTCCCCTTAGAAACCAAGAAACCTTTTCCCAGGATAATAATAGTGGTAGTAGTAGTAATAGTAGCAGCAGTAGCAATACCAGCTGTAGTAGTAGCAGTAGTAGTAGCAATAGTCCCCTTAGAAACCAAGAAACCTTTTTCTAGGATAATAGTAGTAGCAGTCATGGTAGTAGCAGCGGCAACTAGCATTCATATAGACCATTGAGGTTTGCAAAGTGCTTTATATATGTTATCTCATTTGATCCTCACACCAACCTTGAGAGAGAGATGCTATTATTATCCCCATTTTACAGATGAGGAAACTGAGGCTGAGAGGTCACCTAGCTTATTAAGTACCTGAGGTGGTATTCAGCTGACTGCAGCATTATCAGCTGTGCCACGCAGCTGCCTCTGAATTACATCTGGGTTCCTGTCCTGGCTTGGCCTCTCCAGTGCCTTCGGGGCCCCAGGCTCCTCTCCTCAAGGATCTTGCTCCCAGTATTGTAATTCAGCATCCAGGCAACGAGTGTGTAGGATCTTCTCCCCCCAAGGCAGCCCTTCTCTTTGTGCTTCCTCAATCCAGAAAGTGAGACTGGCTCCTGGAACAGAAAGGGGGAGTAGGAGGAATGCTGGCAATACTAGGCCCTTCCCGATTTCTAGCTGCCTCGGCTGAACTGTCCCTGGGGGCAGCGGGGCTGACACCCCCTAACCCTCCTGTTCTATCCAGGCTGCTCATACTTACATGTGAGGGAGGGGTAAGAGATGGCAGCCAGTGCCCCCTAACACTGAACAGCCGTGAGAGCTCTCACCTGTGCCTGCTCTCACCCCCCCATCTGTAGCAGTCCTGACAGTTATTCCTTCTTCATTACAGTCACACACAGACGGATCTCTAGAGGCATATATGTGGACATATGTTGTTCACTTGTTTCAGTTGTGTCCAACTCTTTGTGACCCCTTTTAGGGGTCTCTTGGCAAAGATTGGTTTGCCATTGGCAAGGAGTGGTTTGCCATTTTCTTCTCTAGCTCATTTTACAGATGAGGAAACTGAGGGAAACCAGATTAAGTGACTTGCCTAGGGTCACACAGCTTGTGATTTGCTATTTCCTTCTCCAACTCATTTTATAGATGAGGAAACTGAGGCAGATAGGGTTAAGTGACTTGCCTAGGGTAACACAGCTAGTAGCTGTGTGAGGCTGGATTTGAACTGACTCCAGGGCCGGAGCTCTATCCACTACACCACCTAGCTGTCCTATATATAGATATATATACACAGATGCAGTAGCGTGCACACACACACACACAGACACACACACACACACACACACACACACACACACTCTCTCTCTCTCTCTCTTTCTCTCTCTGTCTCTGTCTCTGAAGTCCTGAGGTCTTCTGACTACAGAGGAAAAGTTTGCCTGTAAGTAGGTCTGATCTCCTGATCTAGCCAAATCTGGCCTTGGAAAGCCCTCAAGTGGGAGATGGCCAAATCTAGGGAGTGGCAGGGACTCTTGGGGGCCTCCCTTCCCTCTCTTCTGGCTTCTTATGGTTGATGACATGTTTTGCATGTAGAAAGTCCTCGAGTTCTTATTCTTTGCCTCCCCTACCCCTCCTGCCACCCCTTTCCCTGCCAAAGGTTTCCATTTTAGAACTTGGGTGAGATGGGAGACAGCCAGGTTGCCCAGTGGGTCGATCAAGAGCCTGGAGTCAAGAAGACCTTAGTTCAAATCTGGCCTCAGACACTCACTAGCTCCCTGGCCTTGGGCAAGTTAACTGTTTTAATCCACTAGAGAAGGAAATGGCAAACAAACCACTCCAATATCTTTGGGGTCCAGAAGCATCAGACTTACTAAGCAATCACTAGACCGCTGTGACTTCCCAGCTAGGCGAGGATAGTTATCACACTTTGACCTTCAGCAACTGGGGACTCGGGGAAGGACCTGGGAATACTTGACACGGCTTTCTAAAGCCTGTCCTCATCTTTTCTCGTTCCCATTAGATTGAAACCCTCCCAAAGATGTGGGGGCTGGGCCCGAGGGTGTTTGGAGAAAAGATGTATAAGCTACCCTCATAGCAGTGTGGAGGTGGGGGGGCAGGGCAGCCCTTTATCTGATCCAGGCCTCCATCCTGACCCAGTGAATCTATTTTTCCAGTCTCACTAGCTGGTATCTCAGTTATGTTCAAGTCAAGGAACATTTTTTCTTAAGTGCCCAATGATTGCATAACCTTGATGCAAATATACTGGAAAGTAGCATTCTTACCCTCATGGAGCCTATATTCTTCAGTCTGTTGCTATGCCACTCATTAGCTGTGTGATTTTGGGTAAGTCTTCTATCTCTGCAGTCTTGTAGGAGAATGTGGCATGCTTACAACGTCTTCCATACTGGAAGGGTTTGTGTTCTTCAGATGATGCAAATTTTGATCCCTCTAAAACAAGGGTTCTTAACTTTTTTTTTTTGGCATTACGGTGAAGCCTATTGACCCCTTCTCAGAAGGATGTTTTTAAATGTACAAAATCAAATACCTAAGATTACAAAGAAACCAATTATACTAAAATCATGATCGAAATATTTTTAATATCAACTAATCAAGTTTCTGGAGTCCAGGTTAAGTGCCCTTAGTCTGAAATTTACTAAATAGTCTTTAAATCTTATTATGGACTCATAGGTCATAGTTCAGTAATTGGTGTTCGACCTCATAAGGAGGATGAGCGTCTCTGAATTTAGCCAGGCTGGTTTAAGCAGTGGGCAAGCAGGCTCTTTAATGCACTAGAAGCCCATCCACATAGCCTTCAAAAGCCTGTGGCCCCTTCAGCTCACAATCAAAGCATCAAATATGGCTTTAGTGGATGATGGCACATACACAGATTACAATTATACATTACAGGTGCACAACACTGTTAGGTGAGTGTAAAGGAAGTCAAGGTTGATACAGATTGGGAGATCAGGGAAGGCTTCCTGGAGAAGGTGGCCCTTGAGCTGTGCTTTAACAGATGGATAGGATTTAAAAGGGATGGTGGTGTGGAAGAGGGAAGGGGATATTCTGGGTTTAGATAGTGGCTTCAGCTGAAGCGTGGTGGGAAAAGGCATTTGTCCTTTGGACTCCGATTGCTTCTTCCTTGGAACCAATCCAGAGGTGACCTACCTTTGGCCCTGGGACTTTCTCCCTTCACCATTAACTTCACCCTATCTATCCCTCGAGTTGGCAGTTAGGTGTCACAGTGGATAGAGCTTCAGGCCTGGAGTCCGGAAAACCTGAGTTCAAGTCCATCCCCAGACACTTACTAGCTGTGTGACCCTGGGCAAGTCACTTAACCTTGTTTACCTTAGTTTCCTTATCTGTAAAATGAGCTAGAGAAGGAAATGGCAAACCACTCCAATACCTCTACCAAGAAAACCCCAAATGGGATCATAAAGAGTCATTCACTATTGAACATCACCTATCCCCCGATTGATATAAGAACCATCCCTGGGAACTCATAAGGTTAGACATCAGTACCCAATCTCTACTGACCCTCCTTCATCATTGCTACAGGATCTTTCTCCTTGAATCTAATGTTCACTTCCTTTGCTTTCATACCTCAGAGTGTATTAAATTTTTTTAATAGAATGTGAAGGCCTGAGTTTAGTTTGAGGGCCTTAATGGGGGTAGGGGTAGTGAATGAGCCTTAAACTTAATTTGGGCCCAATAACTCCTACACACACACACACACACACACACTCACTGCCATCTATGTGAAAGTAGAGTTTTAAAGATCACCATATGAAAGATAGCAAGATTGGGGCTGCAGGTAAAGATTTTGGGTAAAAGAACTAACTCTTAACTGCGTGCCTTCCTGGTTGGTATATCCTTCCCTGGCCCTGTCCTTGTTGGCTTGATCATCTCTAAGAGAGGCTGGGAGGGTGAGGGCGGGGCAGGCTTAGGGAGGGGAGAGGACTAGAGGGGAGACTGATTGATTGGGATATTGGGAAGAGGCCAGTGTTGAGGAGACTGACCTGGGTCAAGGGCTGAGGGGAGTTTAGGCTTGGGTTCAGGTTGTGGGCCTCTCCCCCCACCTTTATCCTCTCCTTCCCTCCTGTAGAATCCCCCATCCCAGCAGGGGCCCTGGGCCTTGGAGCTCTCTACCCCCACACTCCTTCTCCTCCTCCTGTGGCCATTCGTTGTCCAGTGGCTCTACCAACAGTTTCGGAGACAGAAGAGGTGATTGGACCTTAGGGGACACTGCTGCTGCCAGAGGGGATGATGGGGGGAGGGGGGAGGAAGGTGCCTCCTGTTTCCTAGCCCTCCACAGTCTCCCACACTGCACCTGAGCCTTCCTGGGGAAGCAGGGAGGGCTTGGACCTCACCAGCTGGCCTCGTTTTCCTCACCTGTCAAATGAGAGTGTCCGACTAGATCTCTAAGGGTCCTCTCCAACCCTTATTCTTCAGTCTATGAGCTATGTCACTAAGTAGTTGTGTGACCTTAGGTAAATCGTTTTCCCTCCTTTGGGCCTCAGTTTCTTCACCTGTAAAATTACCCAGTGGAACTGCCTCTTAGGTGATATTCTGGAATTCCATGACCAATCAGTATTTGCTGGTTGCTGAATGGAATAAGTTCAGCCCTTTTTGGTGGCCCCTGCTCTGGGCTGCGGCCCTTCCCCTCCAGGAGGGCAAATAACTCGTTTTCCCCGACTGTGGATGGCATGGGGGAGCCCCAGGGCCCCTTGGTGATTCAGGATGCACCAGCGATGCTGGGACACCACCAGCACCAGATCGTTACCGCTGCGTTTCTCCCTCCCACCTTCCCACAGAGCTCCCTCCCCCACCGGCCTCAGGTCACTTGACTGTCATTCCCCACCCCCATCCCAGTCCCTCCCAGAGGTACCTTAGCTCAGGCAAGTTGAGGCAGTGGCCTGGGCGTCTATTCTAGCTGTTTGGTAGAAGAGAAGAGTTGACTTGCTGCGAGAAGGGTGTTTGGGGAGGCTTTTTCAGGCTGCTTTCCAGAGGCAGTTGAGAGGCCAGATAGACAGACAGATAGATAGACAGACAGACAGAGAGATCTATATCGATGGGAAGGGAGGGGAGTGGTGGGGGAGGCACCGAACTTGCTTTTGGTCACATGTCCCCTCTACCCTTTGGATTATACTCAGGTTCTCATCCGCTCAGAAGATCCTTAAGTATTAAAATAAATGAAACTTTCCGCTCTGGAGAGGTTCCATCCCAAGGGGGAATGGGGTGACGCAGGCATGGGGAGTGGGCTGGGGTTGAAGGGCTGAGTAGGGCCAGGCTCCCTGCTATGGACACTGGCTCCCCACCCCCAACCACGACGGGGCCCCCTCCCTTCTGTTTGTTGACCAGCAGTTTTATGCAGAGATTCCGAAGTCGTTGCTGCAGAAGGGGGATGGGGTGGGCTCCCTAGGGGTGGAGGGGGATGAAGACGAGAGCCCCCCGGGGGTGAGGGGCAGATTGCGGGCTACGGTGAGCCTCGGAAGAATTGGGGGAGGGAAGGGAGGTGTCTGCGTGTCTCAGTGTCCTGGGGTGGTGCCCAAATCTGAAGAAAACAGCCGCCTGCGAGTGGGGGGAGGGGAAATGGACTGGGGCGAAGGTTGCATCTGGACAACGTCGCATGACCCGCCCCGTCCGGCTCCTATCCCCGCGGCCCCGGAGGGTCTGAGGTTCTGGCGAGCATCCCGGGATTCCCGCGGGGGGTTGAGCGCAGTACCCCTTCCCCCGGCCCGCGGACTGGCATGGTCCTGCGGCGTCGGGGCGGGGCCTAGGGGAAGGGAGAGGAGGGGGCGGTCCCAGCTGCGCGTGGCGTCACGGTCACGGTCACGCCGTGGCTGGAGGCCGGAGCGAGCCCGAGGACGGCCGCCGCCCCCGGGTCTCGACTGGACCCCCTCCTCCATCCAGCTGGCAGCCCCGCCCTATCCCCGCTCCTGGCACTGATCCTCGCACCCAGCCCCCTTCTCTAGGCACTGCCCCTTGGTCCCTCTCCAGATATCCTCTCCTTCCGAACCCCTGAATCTCCGACCGCCCCCCTCCAAGTCCTGCACCCCCTTCCAGATCTACCCCAGCCCCGAGTGCTGGGATGCAGCTTCACCCACACAAACTTTCCCCAAAAGGTGCGGCTATCAGTCCCTGAATCTGACCCCTTTCTCGGGGGTGGGGCGGGGGGACGGGACTTTAAGACCTTCTTTCCGGATTATCTGTGTTAATAAGCCACTTTATAGGAAGCCCTCCGACAACTCAGCTAGGGGAGTGGGCCAAGGCTGAGGCTGGCTATAGGCATCTGTGTTTGTCTGTCCTAGCCTCCTTATGTGTGTCTGTCTGTGTGTGCACATCTGGAGCCTCCTGTGTCTGTTGCAGACGAGTGATTCTGTGCAAGAATGGGAGTCTGAGTATGCATGTGTGTGTATGGTGTTGGCTGCAAATGGTTCTTTTTCCTCTCTGGCACACCAAGACTCTGTCATCTGCCCATCCCAGGGCTTTGGCTCGGCCTCCAGGCCTGCTCAGTGCTTTCCCCTTCATCACCTCTCCTGGGATCCACCCCCAGCTTTTCCAGTTCCTTACTCTTTGCCTTAAGCCAAAAGCCTGGAATTTTCTGAGATTTTCCTTTAATGCCCTCTTCATTTTCCCTCTGCTTCTAGCCCACCACGCCCTGCCCCTTAATTCATGTGACTCTTGAAAATCCAGGAAAGGAAGACACTTTCTTGTATTAACTAGAGTGGACAGGAGAATCCCTCCATACCCCCACTTCCTCTATGGAAATACTTTTTAGCTTGAAAAATTTTTCATTAATTTTTAAAAATTGACTTCCCCTTATTCTCCTATTTTCTTCCACCCAGAGGTGCTGTGGCCTCTTCTTTGTATATAATGTCAATCAACTTTTCACTTAGCCAGCTGTTATCTTTGTTCAATATTCAGTCCTCTGGATGCCAGGTTCTCCCACTCAAGTTCAGAAGATGGGGGGGGCAGCTAGATGGTGCAGTGGATAGAGCACCGGCCCTGAAGTCAGGAAGACCCAAGTTCAAATACAGCCTCAGACCAAACACTTGACACTTACTAGCTATGTGATCCTGGGCAAGTCACAACACCAATTGCCTAACAAAACAAAACAAATCCTCCGGAAGCTCCCCAAAGCCGTGCTGCTCCCTTCCCCACCTCGGGTAAAGCCCAGGGCTATAGGCTGTGGACTCTATAAAGCCTTTGTGATAAGGATGGCCAAGGGCAGAACAGGGAAAAACTAGGGGATGGGAACCCAGGCTGCTAGTTGGAAAAGTCTAGGCAGTCTCAGGGAAGCCTAGAGCTGCAGGCTAGGATGGCTGACTCTTGCCAGTAATGTATGAAGGCTCCCTGATGCTGAACTGCCTGCAGATGCTTCATTCTTTCTACTCTAGAGTGACCTCTTCTCTTTCCTACTGATTAAAAAACAAAACAAAACAAAACCGTTCTACAGGAGCTTCTTATGAATTGGGGTATGAGGGTGAGAAAGATGAGATATTCACCTCCAGATTCCATTTGGATAAAGTCATTTTCTGTAAGAGAACTCCTAGCTTGGTGGGAGAGAAATTCCTTGTTCAAAGGAAGCGCCTTGTCTGATGTGGGAGATGACCACTATGACCACTGGTTCATAGAATCACAGATTTGAAACTGGAAGGGACTTTAGAGGTCATCTAGTGCATTTAGGAAGAAAAGGTCTGCTTCGGGCAACAGTTCTTAACCTGGGGTCCCTGAACTTGTTTTTAAACAATATTTTGGTAACTATTTCAATATAACTGGTTTCTTATGTAATCCTATGTAATTATTTTATGCATTTAAAAATTATTCTGATAAATAAATTGAAAATTTAAAAAAATTATTCTGAGAATGAGTACATTTCATTGTTTTAACGTTTTTTTCAGTCATGTCTGGCTCTTCGTGACCCCATTTGGGTTTTTCTTGGCAAAGATACTGGAGTGGTTTGCCATTTTCTTCTCCGGTTCATTTTACAGATGAGGAAACTGAGGCAAACAGGATTAAGTGACTTGCCCAGGGTCACATAGTAAGTGTCTGAGGCCAGATTTGAACTCCAGAAGAGGAGTCTTCCTGACTGCAGGCCCCGGGCTCTATCGATTGCAGCGACACCTAACAGTCCCAAATGGGTCCATAGGCTTCACCAAACTGAGGAAGGAGTTCATGATAGGGAAAAGGGTAAGAATCGTTGGTCTAGTCCAAACCTGTCATTTTATTGTGACAGAAATGAAGCAATCAATGAATATTTATTGATTACAATTTGTTGGGCATTGTGCAAATGCAGAGAGAGAATGAAAAGAGGAAAAACAAAATTCTTTGCCCTCAAGGAATTTACAATCTATTTCAATAGACTAGAAAGACTATAAATATAAACATATATTTTGTATTATTATGTATATGTAAATGTATACCTGTATTTTGTATTATGTAAATGTAATGTATATGTGTGTGTATATATATATATAATATGTATATGTAAATACAGACATATATTATGTATATTCTAGCACATATAAATATATACAAAATAAATCCAAAGTAATGGGGTGGGGGTGGGGAGAAGGAGCTGAGGGGAATTCAGAAAGGCTTGAAGTAGGAGGACTGGAGTGAAGATAGGAAGAAAATTTGGCTGAGCCGGGAGGATGGAGTGCATTCCAGACGTGGGCAACAGCCCCTTACAAAGGCATGGAGATTGAGGAGAGAGATGGAATGTCAAGTGTGAGGAACAGCAAAAGTCAAGTTTAGCTTGACTACGGACAAATAGAAAGGGAGTAATATAAAAGTGTGTTCTCATATGAACACAGAAGCTGGGAAAGCAGTTGGAGCCAGGTTTGAACGGGTTTAAATCAAGCATTTATTTATCACCTGTTATTTGCCAAACACTTTGTATATAAAAAGAAAAGCAAAACAGGTTTCTGTCCTCAAGGAAATTATCTTTTAATTACTTCCTGCATTAGGCAAAGACACCAAGATGGGACATGGAGATGAAATGTCACGGGTGAAGATGGCAAATAGGCCAATTTGGCCCCAATGTCAAGATCCTGGAGAGGAAAGATAAGGGGCCAGATGGTAGAGAGCTTTAAGGGCCAAAGAGAGGAGTTTCTAGTTGATGCTAGGGGTTAAATAAAGAACCTTTAGAGTTATTGAGCATCAAAGTGCTCACCATGCCCTGTGCTTTAGGAATGTCATTTTTGGAGGGGTTGAGGATGGATTGGAGAAGGGAGGTATGATGGGAGGAGATCAGTTAGTAGGCTATTGTCATTGTTGTTTGTCCTTTGTTCTCCAAGGGGACCAGTGACACTGGGAGGGTCTTGACTTGCAAGTGAATTGGATTTAAGTGAGGAAGAGCTGTGCAAGGTCAGCAGCCTCACTCTCTCCTCCAGGCATGGGAGTCCAGTGGAAAAACATAGGTCAGGATGCCTGTAGATGGTGCAGGATGCAGTGCAGGCTGTTGTAATAGTCCAGGTGAGGAGTAATAAGGGCCTGAATGGA